CCCCAAAACCCCAAAACCCCAAAACCCCAAAACCCCTAATATTTTCGTTTGCTTGAATAATTAAATAATTTAGCATAATTCAAACTAAACATGAACGAAACCGATTCTCAAGTTGAAACCAAAATCTGCTCCAATTGGTAAGTTTGCCCCTCCAACAATGCTAACAAAAGCCTATAGTGAGACTGCAATAGAGAAATCCAAGTTTATGCTCCATGAAGCTTACTGCTTTAGGAACATGTACAAGTGCAAGTGCGGAGAAGTCGTACTAAAAGCTGAAAAGGAAGAGCACGAAGAGGAGAAACACCAGGAAATCCAGTGCAAATTTTGCTCATTCAAAGCAATGAAGCACGAGTTTGGTGATCACGAAGAGAATTGCGACAAGAAGCCTAAACTATGTCAATTCTGTGAGAACATGATCGACCATAATGACTACCTCCAGCATATCAACCGGTGAGGAAGCAGAAGCAGAAAATGTGAATTTTGACAGAGAAATGTTATGATGCGCAACCAAAAATATCACGAGCAAGAGGAATGAGCAAAATTCATCAGAGAAGAGTATGAAAAAGAAGAAAAAGAAAGGATTAAAGCACTTGAAGAAGAAGAAGCTAGAAAAGATAGGGTAAAGGAACTCCAAAGACAGAGAAGAGCAAAGAAGAACATCCCAGATTCAAGCAAAAAGAGTGAGGCTTTAAGAAAGAATGAAGAAGCAAAGCGAAATCTCAGACAAAAACCAGCACCGAAGAATGCAGGTCCTCCTAAAAGAGACCTCCCTTCTTATTATAAAGGCAAAGAAAAGGCAGGTCCTCCTAAAAGAGACCTCCCTTCTTATTATAAAGACAAAGAAAAAGCTTCTAAGCCTGAGGGAGTTGCTGGTAGGACCAGAGCCAAAAAGAGTGAAGTCGCTGAAAGTTATTATAAACCAAGCACAAGATCTAAGAGAACAACCGCTGCTAAGAAAGAAGATCATAAAGAAATTTCAAAAAGAAGTAAACCCACTCATAGTTATAAAAAGCCTAGGGTGGAAGAAAGAGCTCCTAGAGATTTTCCAGTAGATTCTCCAATGGTAGACTCGGATGTGATGAATGAAATTCCTCCAGAACTATTGAACCAAATCTACTCGGAAGATCTTGATGAGCAAGCTGTAAAAGACTATCAAGCGAAAGAATACAAAGCTCCAGAGGCACCTCCAGCAGCTGAAAGATTAGTTGATGGAGGGATGGATGTTGACTATGGACGCCCACCTCCAAGAAGAGCAAGTCCACCTCCAAGAAGAGCAAGCCCACCTCCAAGAAGAGCAAGCCCACCTCCTCCTGACATGTCTTCTCATATGCCTCCCCCAGCTTCTCTCGGAAATGACAATGAAGAGCTCCAAAAAGCTATCGCTGCTAGCTTAGAAGACAACAATCTCAGACAGTTCCCAATGAGTAAGTTTTTGGTCGATTTTCTATTCTCTTTATTCACTTTCTCACCACACTCTAGGTGATGATTTCGACTCAACAATGAATGACCCAGAAATGCTAGAGGCAATAGCCAGGTCAATGCAGGATAATTAGAGAATTAGAAATCCCAAGAGTGATGTAATCTCTTACATTGTTCTGTGAATAATATTCAATAAAAAATTCTTAGTGAGGGGTTTTGGGGTTTTGGGGTTTTGGGGTTTTGGGG